CATGCCATTTTTTATCTGTGTAGGTCGGAGATGTCGATTAAAATACGACCTACTCCCGCGTGGCTTGCTCGGCTCCTATTGATCGTAGGTTGATGTTCCATAGTCTATAGACTTCGTCGATAAATGGACTACCCAACGCAAAAATAATGTAGTAAAAACCATAATAAATGTGACACTAAACAGTACTTAGAGCGGGACGATCTCCGGCCACCGTAAGCGCGGGCCTGCGAACGGCGAGCATGGGTGGCTTGCCGTCCGACCAGAAACAGACCCAAGCGTACGGTACCGAGCGTTCGCCCCCGCCTCAAAGAACCATCAAACCACCACAGATCAGTTGACGCATGGAACCCAACTGGGCGGATGCCGATTCAGGGTCGCGGAGAACCTAACGGGTAACCGGGGGTGATTTTCCCCCCTTAAAAAAAACCATACTTAGAAATCACACTGTCTACTGATGGAGACATGTCTACATCTTATTAGTCTATCTTTTATGTACTCTTCCCGCGGGTGTAGTATACCCGACTAAGACACTCCACATTAGACAGAGCCCGTGCAGCAGCGCTCTCTGATAAACCTGAACCTTGTATACTGCGACCTCCAACCCGCCTGCCTGCGGAGATTGTGACAAACCCTCTTATGTAGAGGAGACTCGTAGTGCGGCAGTGGACTGTCACCCGCTGTAGATTATGATGTATTCTGCCCTATCATCACATATGTTATTATCAGCCTATAAGTGTCCACTGCAGACCAAATCCCTCTTCTCACACGGAGAAGGTTTGAGCATTAGGTAATCATCACGCTTGCTCAATCCGGGTTGGCGATTTCAAACCTATAATTAATATTACTGGTTTTTTTTAAATCTCAGTAGTAGCACGGAGTCTGGAATTGTGCCCGGTATATGGCAATAGGCTCACCCCTATTACTCATAACATATATAGTGAAAAGTGGGTGTTACATTGTACAGTGGCATTAAGTGCCGTAATGTGCACCTCTGCCTACCCTTTCGGGGATGAAAAGGCATGATGTTATGTTATGTTAATTACAAATTATAAGCCCAGGGTCTAATAAATCTTGAAACCAATGTCAAAGCAATTTCAATCCAATAAAATCTCAATAATTATTCAATGTCAACACTATACAACCACAATCGTAGCTGTTACAATAGCATTCAGAGTACGGAATATAAAGACAAACTCAATACCATTTAGTTCATTCAATATCCGCGCAATACGGATGCAATGGGCGCTAGTGTTGCAACTCAAGAGTATGACACAATACCAATGTCGATCGATCGGAATTGGATTCAAGAGTAAGCCCCCAGGTTTCTTCACAATTTTTTCCTTTACCTCTGCCGTCTACCACACAGCAAGAAAACCAATAATAAGTATTATCTTTCAATTTAAAAAATCAAATTGTTGCACGAATATTTAGATTTTTTATTCGCTAGGCGCCCTCGAAATCAAGCCGTTTGCCTCCGGCTTGTGTATAATCCCATACCGATAAGTGACTTGCATACTAATTTAATGTGACTGTATATATCACGCCTTTGATTCCAGAGTAGCTTCATGTACAATGTAACACCTACTTTTTCACCGAACAAGCCGGTAAACGAGCAAACGGATCACCTGATGGTAAGCAATCGGCGTCGCCCATGGACACCTGGAACACTTTTTTAAGGGGGGAAAATCATCGAATGACTGCTCCCGCCTGGGTGAAGCGGGAGCAGTCATTCGATGTCAGACTCTTACTGACTAAAAACCACCCTGTTCCTTCTCCTGCACTTCGAACGGAGCCGCGACCGCACCTGGAACATTAAAGGCGTTATAAGTGTGTTATCGGCCTTTTGGGGATATGGAATTTGAGGATTGTGGACTTGTTGAGCATTCGGGTATTGAGGAGGGGATTGTGCCTCTGGTAACCTCACTCACACGAGGAAACAACGCAAGCGTTGTTTCACGTCGATGTTTTGGTCGGTCGTGGTATAACTCCGATCCAGCCGGCTCATTCGATCCGAAACATGGCTCTCACACACTTAAAAAAATAGATTAGCTGTATCTACTGTCATGTATGAATGTTTGTATGGTAATTTTGAAATCGTAAAACCCAATATGTATTTTGACCTCGCGGTCGGGTATTTCTGACCACGCCAATGTCATTTGGAAAGTAAATTGAATTAATTGCGGCTCTTTTACCACTAAAGGATTAGGTAAAAGGATTCTATGTATGTAGGTAACAAATCTATATCGATATGTGGGTAGTTCTTCATGCTTTTTTTAAGGGGGATATTCGTCACCGCCTTGGGTTGGCGAGAGGGAGTCTCTTACTGACTAAAAACCACCCCGGTCCTACTTCTGCACTTCGTGCCGGAGCCCCGGCAACCCGTTAGACCTTCTGCGGCTCCGTATCGGGCATCTATGTAGACTTTTAAAGCCACCCACGGGAAGAATAGCGATGGTGTAAAATGTATTATATTCATAACATAATTAACGGTACTTATGTAACAGTCTAGTAATTAAAATCCATAGATATATTTCTAATTCTAAGAATATGCAAATGTCTTGGAAGATCTAATTAACATTTTCCGATGTGTCGACGATGTGTAATGTCCAACGGGTTTTTACGTCAAACTCTATAATCGATAAATAAACTTGATTGATTATAAATAAAATGTAGTTATTAGTAAATTAATCTATTATAGTTAATTGTATATTATTGTGGGGTATTTTTAATTACGAACTGTTTTGCTGCCTCGTTGGCCGAGCGGTCGCAAGTACGACTACCCGGCAAGGAGTCTCGGGTTGGATTCCCGGGTTGGGCAAAGAATTACTAGGTTTTTAAAAAAATCTCAGTAGTAGCACGGAGTCTGGAATTGTACCCGGTCAACCCGGTATATGGCAATAGGATCACCCCCTATTATATGAGACTGATAACAACACACAAACACACCAACTTTCGCATTTAATAATTTGAAAGATGATAGAGAGTAGACGGATCACCTGATGGTAAGCAATCGGCCCATCCATGAACACCCGGCAACACAGAGGCGTTACAAGTGCGTTGCTAGCCTTTTGGATGTCAGACAAATTCTTAGATTCACAAGACTAGTCATTTAGAAATAACATTCTAAAATAAAATGATAAAGTAGGTACCTATAAATATTTGTTTTAAGTACCTATAAATTACGTTTAAAAATTCCGACTTCAACTCCCTCTTTTTTAAAGTCGGCTGTATACTCAAACATTCTCTTAAGTGTAACAAACCACCTCATGATGCGGAGCGAGGGGGACTGGGATGCCGTCTCCTCCTTTTGCGAAGCAGTCATGCTAGCTAAGGAGGAGGCGGGACGCGTCCTCGCAACCCAGCTATCGCGAAGGACACACCGGGCGTCGGGGATCGCGGGACGATCTCCGGCCACCGTCAACGCGGGCCTGCGGACGGCGAGCATGGGTGGCTCCTAGTCCGACCAGAAACAGACCCGAGCGTACGGCGCGTCGCGTTCCGCGAGCGCCTCAAAGAGCCATCAAGACAACACAGATGGGCCCCAACAGGGCCGATGCCGATTCGGAGTCGTAAAGAACCTAACGGGTTACCGGGGCTCCGGTTCGACGTGCAGGAGAAGGAACGGGGTGGTTTCTAGTCAGTGAGAGTCTGACACTCCCTCCCGCCTCACCCAGGCGGGAGCAGGCATTCGATGATTTTCCTCCCTTAAAAAAAGAGTGTAATTAATAAACACTTTTCAATAACTGAATGAAAATCGGTTCACAAACTTAAGTGTGTGCTCGTCATGCTTCGACCCTGCTGGGCCTGCTCGAACGGAGTGATACCACCAACGAGCAGAAAACCATAGTGAAGCAACGCTTGCGTTGTGTTTCGTCGTGTGAGTGAGGTTACCGGAGGCCCAATTACCCTCCCCTTCCCCAATCTCCCCAATCCCTGAATTCCCAACGACCCTCAAACTCATAATCCTCAAAAGGTCGGTAAACGCACTTGTAACGCCTCTGGTGTTCCAGGTGGCCATGGACGACGCCGATTGCTTACCATCAGGTGATCCGTCAGCTCGAATACCGACTTGTGCCATAAAAAAACTCGAGAGCCTCCAATTTTTAAAGCTGGCTTAAAATTCTAAAGACATTGACTGCTAAACGTAAAATTCAAAATGGCTACCCGATATGGTTTTTAATTTGTGATTTTGCAAACACGAGGACGCAACAAACGTAGTAAGACCTCGATTCCATACTAAGAAACTCGTCCGCCAAACCTGAATTTTATTACTAACCGCACAAACCATACTCAACCTTATCGCATCGTCACAAGCATCACAACAACTGCAAATTAAAATGGTAAATATTCATCGAAGGCATGATTGTGACAAAGTTATTTTATTTCGAAACAAACGATTTTATGTCTTATGTCCATGAGTTAAAGTTTGTTGTAAATGAATGACTCATGTGGTACTTGTTACATCCGTCTCAATTTACTCGAAGAACAGGATTCGGTGTAATGATACCAGGCGTAAAATATTTTGCCCAAGTCGTGTAAATTATACTTTTTTGTAATAAATTTTAAATCAAGAAATAATTGTTTTATTATATCCTAAAAAAATATAATGGTGCACCATAACACCATTATAGTTTTTAAAATCCCGGTGAAGGTATTCACAAGGATATTTCATTTGTACAGTACAGATTAGGATAAACTTAAACCTAAGCTATTGAGATTTATGCTATAAGCTGTTAAGATATAAAGCCATATTTTGTTCTATCATTTGATTTTCATCCTCATATTTTACCATTTTCATAACAAATTGACAGAAATGTTTAATATAAAAAGATTCTAGTTAACATTTTTTTAGTTTGTATTTAAAAACATCCTACAAAAGTAACATTTTATTCTTGACATTATTTCAACGGTTCCACTATGTATAATCTGTGCCATCGGCAAATTTGAATGTAAGTACGGCAACACCAAAAACAGCAATGTCAGTCAGTCTGTGACGTCGTTTGACGTCGATGCTTGTGCGAGAAAACGTAGTGCAACTAAGTAGATATAAAAACAAAGATTTTACGTAAACAACGAGTTAAAAAATATGTGATCTTTTGCAAAATGGGACTAATAATGTTATAGTGTTGTGTTTTAGTGCTAAAAACAAGTTTAATTGTGTTTAAAGATTAAAAATAAGTGATTATATTTGAAATAGTTTCGTCACGGCAGGCGTTAAATGGTATGTCGTATTTTTCTTAGGACTAACTTGTTACTTCGCAATGCCATAGTATTCAGACTTCATAGGTGGGGGATTTGTGTTTATTTACAAGGCGTTACTATTTTATCGACGATTTCTCTTATATGTTCGATTTTAAAGCGTGTTTTATATGAAATCTTCGATATTATTAGGATACAACTCGGTCCCTCACTTCGTTAATAAACAAGAACTTAAATTGTTTAACAGATTAATGTTAGAGGCGCGTTAATTATCGTTTATATCCATAATAACAGTTAATGATCGAGAATTTTATGTATACCTATTTAGTTTTTGCACATTAAAACATTTCATATCGACAAAATGAATCGTATTTTCGAACTATTTTTATTTTGAAATCTTCAGTCATTTGTTTATTTTTATTTTTTGCGATATCGTTTTGAGTTGTAAATAGCAATGACTAGTGTTTGCCAGTGGCTTCGTTCAATTACATTCTCGCTTGCGATCACTCGACTGAAGACGCAGTGTACTATGAACAAAAATTTTAACGGCGAATAGTGGGCGTGTCTATATTTTTTTATGGCATAAGCCGGTATACGAGCAGACGGATCACCTGATGGTAAGCAATCGGCGTCGCCCATGGACACCTGGAACACCAGAGGCGTTACCAATGCGTTACCGCCTTTTGGGGATTAGCGATTTGAGAACATTGAGGAGAGGAGGACAGTAATTAGGCCTCCGGTAACCTCACTCACACGACGAAGCGTTATTTCACTTCAGTTTTCTGCTCGTTGGTGGTATCACTCCGGTCGAGCCGGCCCATTCGTGCCGAAGCATGGCTCTCAGACACTTAAACTTTATTTGAATCTAGAATAGAATCATGCCTACTTCTAGATTCAACAATACTTATACATGATCTTATTTAATTAATCTACATACGTTTGAGCCCAGGGCCGTATTATCCCTAACGCAAGCTAGGCAAGTGCAGGGCGCCAGGCTACAGAGGGCGCCGCGAGACGAGCGTACAACTGCACATACTTAAAATACGTCGAGCAAAGTACTATTGGGTTTTTTTTAATCTCAGTATTAGCACCGAGTCTGGAATTGTGCCCGGTATACGGCAATATAGGCTCACCCCCTATTAGATGGGACTCGTAACATAAATAGTGAAAAGTGGGTGTTACATTGTACAGTGGCATTATTATGTGCCATAATGTGCACCTTTGTTTACCTGTTCGGGGATAAAAAAGCGTGATGTTATGTTATGTGTTGGATAGTCCATTTATCGAGGAAAGCTATAGACTATAAAACATCACGCTTTGATCAATACGAGCCGAGCAGCGAGCAAAATGGCGCGGGAATAACTAGCTAGTGACAATAATGAAGTCTCCTTTTGAAACACCATGTTAGTTCTATTTTCCTGTTCAACTATAGATCGATTATTAATAGTACCTAGCTAATCGATGTTTAAAATTACTTCGTCATATATGTGAACAGACAAACACAGTCATATTATTATAATGATATACATAGGTAAGACAATACATTTTTGATTAATAAGGCTGGTGACAAATTGAGCTCTTTCTTTGTAAGTTAAAAATAAATTAAATAGGTGTAATTTAAGTGTGGAAGACCATGCTTCGGCACTGCTGGGTCGGCTCGACCGGAGTGATACCACCAACGAGCAGTAAACCATAGTGAAACAACCACAGCGTTGTGTTTAATCCCCAAAAGGCCGGTAACGCACTTGTAACGCCTCTGGTGTTCCAGGTGTCCATGGGCGACATCGATTGCTTATCATCAGGTGATCCGTCTGCTCGTTTACCGGCTTATGCCATAGAAAAAGGTACCTACTTCGAGATTTAATTAAGTAATTTAAATAGTCATCCTCATTTTTTATTTTTCATTCATCAGTACAATAGAGGTATTGTATTGCCATCAAGATTCAGAGTGTGTACCAAATATCAGAGGACTTACTCTGGAATCCAATTCCGATCGATCGACATTAGTATTGTGAAATTTCGTACTCTTGAGTTGCAACACTAGCGCCCATTGCATCTGTATTGCGTGGATATTGAATGAACTAAATGGTATTGAGTTTGTCTTTATATTCCGTACTCTGAATGCTATTGTAACAGCTACGATTAGGGTGGTATAGTTTTGAAATTGAATAATTATTGAGATTTTATTGGATTGAAATTGCATTGACATTGAGATTGGCATCAAGAGTAAGTACCCACATCGATCTGTCGTTAGGAAGGGGGTGACATTACAATTACTAAAGATACAAACATACGGGGCAAGCTAAATGAAACCGTTAAATGAATGATATAGAAATTACCTATTTTGTGTCTGGACAGTATCCAGACTCCAGACATAAATGTACTTAACTTATCTTTAATACTCATAATAGTAGGGGAGCCCACGATGCTAAATTGGGATTTACTTGAGCGTCCTTGGGACCTACTGGATTTTGAAGATATGCTGATAGAAAGAAGAAATGGTTTAGTGACAATTTCTTCCACCAGTGGGGAAAGGGGGAATCTACAGATCTTTGAAATTGTTAAGCGTAACTTTTGTTCTAGTGGTCGAGCGTGTCAGATATTGATAATGTACATGCTCCATGTGTATTTAATAATAAAAAACTCTTAATCTGCCAGTTTGCATGGTGGGGTTGAATGTTCTGGAGAGTACAAACGAGAACCCTTCAAAATCCCCCCACTCTTGCAAATCAAGTTGGAATGGGCAGATTTTTTAAACGCACTTCCTTTAGCACGGTATTGACCTACCTTCCCTTAATCTGACGAAACTGACTTTATTTAGTCAGACTTTTTTTTTAATTTTCAGTCCCCCCCTTCTAATCAGATCGGATATATGTTGGGTATATTCAACATGACACTAGGTTTTCCCCATATGTTAATCTGACGCGCTCGAATAACTACCGAAATCCCTTCATGGGCTCCCCTACTATAAATCAAACATAACATACAGACTCTTTGCAAGTACGTAGATGCGCAAGAGTAATGAAAAAACGACCGCCATTGACTGTACACGATGTATTTATGTCTTACACACACATAGGGACATTTCTGATAAATTGAGCTTTGTAAACAAACTCACACATATTTATCTTATGCAAGTATCAATAGCAGGTGACAGTCTGATAGTCCACTGCTGCACTATGAGTCTCCTCTACATAAGAGGGCTTGTCACAATCTCCGCAGGCAGGCGGGTTGGAGGTCGCAGTATAAGAGGGACAATACCTCCACCTTCCATGGTCCCTCCGACATTCATGTCATATGGGCCGAAACGCCAGGAGACGGATAGCCCGCCCTCTATAGTCTTGCTGGTTTTGCTTCTGCGAAGACGGGTTATCACCGCGGCGATTCTTTACCCTGTACAGTATCCTGTCCTTGTCCCTGACAAGCCCTCTCCCCTACCCTCCTTTTCTTTTTTTTTCTTTTTAGTATTATATTAGTATATCCTTACTAATATTATAAATTGTAAAGTGAGTTTGTTTGTTTGTTCCGCTTTCACGCCGTAACTACTAAACCGATTGCTTTGAATTTTTGCAGATGTAAAGTTAGAAGTCTGGATTAAATAATAGGGTACTTTTTATCCCGGACTTGATATTCCCGAAGGAAAATAAAAGTATTGGTATAGATGGCGCTGTGTGTATTGGTATATGTCACATAGGCTACTTTTTATTCTTTTGTGACGCGAGCGAAGCCGCGGGTAAAAGCTAGTATTAGTATAAAAGGGACAGGGAGGCAAACGAGCAGACGGATTTCCTGATGGTAAGCAATCGGCGTCGCCTATGAACACCTGGAACACTAGAGGCGTTACAAGTGCTTTGCCGCATTTTGGGTATTGAAGACGTGGCTAGGATTGGACCTACGGTAACCTCAACGTTGTAACACGCCGGTTTTCTATGAGACCGTGGTATCACTCCGGTCGAGCCGATGTAGCGACGAATTCACTGACATATGGTGAACGACCAATAGGGCTGATGCCGATACGGAGCCGCGGAGATCGTAAAAGGTTATCGGGGCTCCGACTCGAAGTGCAGGAGTAGGATCGGGGTGGTTTTTAGTCAGAGTCTGACACTCCCTCCCGCCTCACCCGGGTGGGAGAAGCCATTCGGTGATTTTCCCCCCTAAAAACGGCACGATGCAGCATAAATAAAATAAGCGAACAAAAGAGACAGCGATACATGACTGCTACGTGCAAAAAGATAACCCCGGTCGAGTCAAGAACACGTCCAGATAAAAATAAACTTAGTATTCCCCGCGACTTTGTTCATGATTTTCCTCCTTCTATAACAATGGCTATTTTGGACTGTTTACAAGTAATTAAATGAAGGAGATCCTTTTACTTTTACATACTTTTACATACTTTTTTCGAAATTTTCTTTAAGAGATCAATAAAACGTAGATACATACCTACATATAAACGTACATCTAATTCAATATTTTGGCGTGACAGAACTATTTTTAACGACTTCAAAAAAAGGAGGAGGTGCTATGTTCGGCTGAGTTTTATTTTGTTTGTTCGCGCATTACTCCGCTATTTCTGAACCGATTTCTAAAATTCTTGTTTTTTTTGAAGCAACCCTTGCGTTGTGTTTCGTCGTGAGAGTGATGTTACCGGAGGTCCAATTACCCTCCTCTTCCCCATCTCCCCAATCCCTGAATCCCCAACGATCCTCAAACTCCTAATCCCCAAAAGGCCGGTAACGCACTTGTAATGCCTCTGGTGTTCCAGACAGACAGTGCTACTACTGAGAGTTTTTTTTTAAACACAGTAGCACTTTGCTTTCTTGTTTATTAAACGATGTTTTAGCTCGATTCACTGATTTCACACACACGGCGTGAAATAACCCTGTGTCGTTTCACTTCCACTTAAATTGAATTTTAAAAGCTAGTAGTTATTAGCTG